CTATCACCAGCTTTTCTGTCCCCTCCTGCCTTCTAGTCCTTGTCCCTGGACTGCTGTGCCTCATTAGTCCCGTTTTGTTTTATGGGGCTGTCCAATCCCCAGCTGAACGGTGAACCTCGAGAGTGACTTCACCACTGAGCTAAAAGGGTGTCCGGGGGCCATACTCTCAGGGTTTTTCCAGTCTCTGTCAGGTGAGTAAATCTGGTCTTTTTTTTTGTGTGTTAGAGTTTTGTTCCACATCCTTCACCAGCTCTGTCTAGGACCCTCTGTTGTGATCCTGGTCAGAGCAGTCATTGGTGGAAGCTGGGCACCATCTAGCTGTACTGACCTCAGTCTGGTGGAGGCCGTGGTAGCTGTGGTCCATTAGTCCTTTGGACTAATCTTTTCCTTGTATCTTGTTTTCTTCATTCTCCCTTGCTCCCTGAGGGGTGAGACCAGTGGCGTATGTTAGATGGCTGCTCACAGGCCTTTAAGACCCCAGATGCTACTCATGACTATTATTTTATGTTTTATAGTCCAGTCTGATCTTTGTCTGAAGAGTTGGCTTCGGGAATGTTTTTAGTTCTGGGTTAACAGAGCGTACGGGGACCATGGATGGCTTCGAGGGTTCCTCCATTCTCAACCAGACCATGAAGTCTGGTCTTTTTATGTGAATCTGAGTTGTGCACCACACTTTTCTCCTGTTCCGTACGGACTCTCTGTTGTGTTCCTTGTCAGGGCAGTCATTGGTGGTAGCTGGGCACCATCTAGTTCTTCTGGTCTCAGGCTGATGGAGTCTCTGGTTTATGTGGCCCTTTTGTCTCTTGGACTAACATTTTCCTGGCATTTTTCATGTTCTTCATCCTCCTTTAGCTCCAAGTGGGTTGGGACCAATTGATGCATCTTAGATGGCCGCTTGTAACCTTCTAAGACCCCAGACATCACTCACCAAAGTGGGATGCAGAACATTTTCTTAATAAACTTTGTTATGCCAATTGACCTAGATGTCCCCTGAAACCATGGTCCCCAGACCCCAGGCCCCGCTACTCTGTCCTTCGAAGTGTTTGGTTGTATTCAGGAAACTTCTGAGCTTTTGGTTTAGTCCAGTTGTGCTAACTTCCCCTGTATTGTGTGTTGTCCTTCCCTTCACCTAGGATAATTCTTGTCTATTATCTACTTAGTGAATACCTATCTCCCTCCCTCCCCACCCTCCCCACCCTCGTAACCATCAAAGAATGTTGTCTTCTGTGTTTAAACCTTTTCTTGAGTTCTTGTAATAGTGGCCTCATACAATATTTGTCCTTTTGCGACTGGCTGATTTCACTCAGCATAATGCCTTCCAGATTCATCCATGTTGTGAGATGTTTCACGGATTCCTCATTGTTCTTTATTGTTGCATAGTATTCACTTGTGTGTGTACCATAATTGGTTTATCCATTCTTCTGTTGATGGACATCTAGGTTGTTTCCATCTTTTTGCTGTTGTGAACAGTGCTATATGTACTGGATGTGCATAGATCTATTCATGTGGTGGCTCTTATTTCTCTAGGATATTGAAATATATATGATCTTGAATTTATTATCACAGATAGCTGGGAGTTAATTCTAAGTATTATAAGAATATTTAGCCAATTTCTCTGGCCCTAGCTGCATGATTGCTTCTGTGTGGTTAGGTTTCTGTTTTTGTCCAGAGAATTTTGTGATGGAGTGGCCTGAAAGTCAGAAGATCTGACTTTGAGTTTTGATTCTATCATTTCCTGTAAACAATACAGTTAGGAAGATTTTGCTGTTCTACTTGGGGAGACTTCCACATTGCTTTTGGCTCTTTGGCTTACGTTAATGTTCCCATGCAACAGTGTACATCTTCCATTGTCTCTCTCTCCTTGGCAGAGGTCCAAAAGCACTGTATTTGGGCTTCAGAAGCCACTAAACTTGCTGTGTCCTCCTGAGCATCATCCTAATATCAAGGAATTTCATGAGAGAAACATTGCCAGGTCTGAGGAAACAGATGCCCTACTAAAATTGTTCCTTTGTAGTGGGAAGAGAACCAAAGTGGAAACCAGGAAACTTGTGTTCTAGGCCTCGTTCTGCCACTTCTCAGCGTAGTGACTCTGGGTAAGTTACCTTACCGCTCTAGGCATGATGAGCCCAGAAATTATATGTAAAGTGTTCTCTGTGTATGAATTTTTCTAAGAAGAGTCCATACTTTTTATCAGAGTTTTCACAAAGGCTGAGAAACTGTGGACTAGAATATCTTTAAGAGTCTGTTACCTCTTTGCTGCATCTACTGTGAGAATGAAGACTTCTCAGCAACCAGACTGTCGACATTCTGGAAAATGTTGCCATTAGTCTGAAGGGATGCACGGTTATTGTGAAGGGCCCCAGGGGAACCTTGTGGAGAGACTTCAATCACTTCAATGTAGAACTCAGTCTCCTTGGAAAGGAAAAGAAGAGGCTTCATGTTGACAAATGGTGGGGAAATAGAAAGGAACTGGCTACAGTTTGCACTATCTGTAGTCATGTACAGAACATGATTAAGGGTGTTACATTGGGCCTCCATTACAAGTTGAGGTCTGTGTGTGCTCACTTCCCCATCGATATCGTTATTCAGGAGAGTGGGTCTCTTGTTGAAATCTGAAACTTCTGGGGTGAAAAATACACCTGTAGGGTTCAGATGAGGCCAGGTGTTATTTGTCCAGTATCTCAAGCCCAGAACGGAGCCTAAACCTGTTGCAGTCGTGCCAGTTCCGACTCGTAGTGACCCTATAGGGCCAAGTAGAACTGCCCCATAGGGCTCCCAAGAAGCAACCACTGGATTCAAACTGCTGACCTTTTGGTTAGCAGCCAAGCTCTTAACCACTGCACCACCAGGGCTCCAAGCCCGGAAGAATGAGTTAATTCTTAAAGGAAACAACATTTAACTTGTATCAAATTCAGCTGCTTTAATTCAGCAAGCCACGACAGTTAAAAAGAAGGATATCTGAAAATTTTTGGATGATACCTATGTCTCTGAAAAAGGAACCATTCAACAGGTTGATGAGTAAGATCTGAGAGTTGTCTAGCTGC